AGAATTACAATATATTTCATACACAATTTAATATTTATTAATATCATTAATTTCATATTATATTTTTGTATTTAAATATTAAATTATACGATATTTAAGGTGAGAATCAACTAAACAATTTATGTACTAGTAAATTTTGCTCTTGAAATATTATATATACTATGTTGAGAAACAAAACAAAAAAGTTAAGAATCATCAGTGTGGAGAAAAATCATAAAATAAAAGACACGAAATAAAAATAAAAAATTAAAAGATGAAAGGTTTTTAGAATTAAACGTGAAATACCAAAATTATTCCAAGGAGAAAATGTGGCTATTGTGTTTGAAGGAAAAAAAATATATGTTTTTTTTTAATAAATATTCTTTTATATTTTATTTTTTTGTGAAATAGAAGATAACATTGTTTTAAATGCAAATGTTTTTGAAGATTATTATTTATCACATTAAATATAAATGTTTCATCTTCTACAATTTTAATATTTAAATGTAAATTAAAAATATAAGATGAAATTAATGATATTAATAAATATCATATTTTGTATGGAATATATTGTAATTCTTACCAAATTTGGAGAGTAGTTTTCTAAATTAGTTGACTTAACTATGGTTATGATATTTGTTAATATAATATAATCTTGGCCTTTAAACTTTAAATATGACACATGTCTCTAATCTAGACGTGCACTTGACGGAATGGAGGGAAGGGGTAATGGAGGGGAGCCGAATCCATTTAATGGATTAGTAGTATTTAAGGTAAAATCATTTGTATAATTATATATTTTTTCTTAAATCTAACACTCTTTATTAAAGATGAATAAATATTTACTTTTCAATGCAATATTTGACAATACATTTCACGTTGTTTATGCTTCCTATTAGGGATTATTTAGACGTCAACAATTACACCTCTTCATTCTATAAACAACAAAAATATGGTTGGTATTAAACTAAGTATATAACTAAAAAAAAAAAAATGTAAATCACATAAGAGAAGCTTCTAATATAATAGCAAAGGTAGTTCAATATACTTTGAATTACAAGTTTGAATTTTCAGTGTAATATTTTAGTATATTATTTGTTTTAATTATTTGTTAGACTTTTTGACTCCACTAGTTCAAATAGTTGTAATTTGAATTTCTACATATATAGCTTCTTGAATGTAACAGGATGTTCTTTCCTTTTATTTGTTTACCATGATTTGGGGAGGGGACAGACATAACTATTTTAAAATAGACAATTCACATCAATATATTTTATTTAGAAAAATTACCTGAAGCTCGAAATTAATAAAATCAAGTGAGTGTTAGAATAAGTTGAACATCTCTACTTTGAGCACACCAAAATTTTACTGGTCCAACTGCATAGAAATTCATTTTTTTTAAAATTTATATAGCGGAACAGAGAAAACTAGAGTGTACACGTGTTTTATTTCTATTTTGTACGAGTAAAAAAATCTTATCGATAATCCTGTAACTAAATGAAGTATTGACAGTAGGGGTGACAAAATGGTTAAAAAATTTGGTATCCATTCAACCCAACTATATTTTAAATGAGTTGGATATTCAATCATTTCAAAATTGCATTAAACATGGATCAACACACATTATCCATCATAAAATACGAATAATCCAGAAGTATCCACCAACTACACTCCCCTTCAAGTATGTAAGTGTATAGGAACTTCTAAAAAGTGCACTTATTAAGGGTGTGTTTGGTATGGAGAAAAAATATTTTTTGAAATATATATATAAATCAAGGAAAATATTTTTTTCGAAACTTTCGTTCAACCTCATGACCACCTCAAAACAAGTTCTTATCCAAGAGCTCTATGAGATGAGGAATCCCTCATAGCTAGATTCAAACTTTTGATCCCAACTCGAGATATAATTACAAACCTGATATGAAAAACAAGATTGGACTTCAAATTATGACCCCAATCCAAAATCAAGACCCGAATCCTGGCATAAGACTTAATTCTCGAATCCTGACTTAAAACCTACTCCTAACCTTGACTCGACTCCTGACCTCATCCCCTGACTCCGATTTCTAACCCCAACTTAGAACCCATCTCGAAATTTTGACCCAAGGCCCAACTCCCGACTCCCAACCTTGACCCCGACCCAGACTTAGAACCCAACCCTCAACCTCGATCCCGACCTTGGTCAGTGACATACAGTGATCCCAATCAATATTCGAAATCTAATCTCAACCTAGGACCTGATCTTGACCTTAACCTCACCCCAACTATCTATCCCAACCTAAGAGTCTACTTGAGACTCGAATTCTGATCTTAACCTAAGATTTTGACTCGAGATTTAACTCCTTATACTAATTTGGGACTTGGGTCCCAATGCGAAACCTGACTCTCAACCCTAAACCAATCCCCGTCTCTCGATTCATGTATACACCATTTAATAGTTAGTTAAGAAATAAGTTAGTCATATATAGCTAGTACATATACAAATTATGAGGAAATTAATATATTAATTTAAAAGAGATAAAAAATAAATAACTACTATCCACATAATTAATATCTAATAACTAAAACTTGTATTAGTAATACCAGTTTAATAATTCTAAATAGCTACCAAACAACGACCCCTAAATAATTGAAAATATAAACATTAAAAAGTTAATGGATATGAATGCTTTTAAGTACAAGTAATTAAGGAAAATGGTACATTGGTGAGATCCAGCTGTTACGTGTGACATAACATGACTTCATCCTTACGAAGCACGAAACTCTTTTTACCATTTTTGTATTTCATTCACATTAACAAAACTTTCTTTACATTTCTGGTCCAAAAGTTTCCCAATTAAAGCATCTTAAGTCCTTCCACCGTCCACTAATTTCTACCCACACTTTTATTACTTCTTTCGTCTTAATTTATATTGTAGTATTTGATCGGACATCAAGTTTGAGACGAACGAAAGACTTGAAAACTATATGGTTTTGATATAAAGTTATAATCTTTTGTATGGTTATATATTATTACATGAAGGAGTCGTTTAGTATGCGGACTAAATTATTTTGGAATTATAATTTTTAAACTAATTCATCCCACTTGACAAATGAGATGAGGTAGGATATCTCATGATTAATCCTAAGATAAAAAATTGTACCGTCAGGCGTCAATTAAATGTAAAATTTAATTTTATCACCCGTTTAAATCAGGAAATATCTCACCTTATTCAGCGTACCAGAACACCTTAAGAGTAAAATAAGAAGTTTAATACTCTTTTTAGTATTTATGTGTGGCCTAATTTTTAGTTTCATTCACATAAAAAAACATCCTTGCCTTTTTGGTCCAAAAGTTACCTAATTAAAGCTTTTTGTGTCCTTCTACCGTCCACTTATTTCTCACCACAATTTCTACTCTTTTAAATCTTTTTATTTTTTTCACTTTTACTCTCTGTAATCTGAATATGAAAAAAGGGTACACTCTCCCTTCCATCTCATTTCCCTATATATTTATCTATTTACAAAAATAATATATTTTATATAATTTAATCTAAACTTTGTATTTTACTTTGATAAGTGTTTATTTATAGTTACAGATATCTCATGATAGGTTTACGCTTGATTTCAATTTTTTTTTTTCAATTTTAAACTCAATTAAATTATACCGTACAAATTAAATTGATGTATATACCTTCATTAAAACAAATGAAAAATGTGGATATTGTTATATCATTTGAAGTAAAGTAGAAAGAAAATAAAAAAAAACAATTAAATATTACTCCTCTGTTTCCCGAAAATAATTATAATATTCGAAAAAAAAATAAAAAAATATCCAAACTTTAGTATGAATTCCAAAATCTATAAATTTAGATGCTTGAAATATACATAAAACATGATTTATTATTAACACTAGGACATATTAATAATTAATAAATGCCTAGAAGACAAATGTCACAAACAACTAATCTCAATTTAGACGTGAATTCCTTATTATTAAAATTTTGTGTCTCATTTCTCTCGTTATTAGAAAAAAAGTTTCATTTTTTCCCGTAACCCAAATAGAAAAGAAAATTTTAAATCATAATTAGAAGTTGGAAGAAAAAAATTTTGAATACTTGAAGTCCACAACAAATACAAACATAATATGCTAATGGCAAAAAATGAATGAACCACCAAAAATTCTGTATCCAAAGATAAAATTAAGTAATTTCCAATAGTACAAAGTGAGTTTGAATATTTTCCTTTGATTATTTAATTTGACAAAAAACATCTAAGTATAAATTAAAAATTGATTAAGAGGGACTTGCTTGAATAGAAAATTCTTTCTACTCGCAATTCTAAGGTTGTGACTTGTGAGTCATTAAGAGAACAAAATTATTGAAAGCTTTTAAGGAGTAAAAAAAGTGACAAGTCGCGTACTAATTTGAGCAAAAAAAAAAGTATAAATAAAAATCCAAACCTAAAAAATACCCTTGTCTTCAACCAAACTTTAGAGTCGAGAATGTCAAAATTATATCGTGAACCTAGATTAGTCGAAGCTAGAATTAGGAGTTTGAAGGTTTTAAATTTTAAAACAAAAGAGAAAAATGAGAAACTTTTGTTGATAGTAACCCACAACACTAGTGTTCCTTACTGTTGAGCTGTGAATCAATTTTGTTAAAGGGTTCATAAGTTAATATATACTTATAATTTTCTAATACAAATACATAGTCTACGAAAAAGTCAGTGAGATCCCCACCTAGTTCCGCCTCTGGTCGAAGCATGTTGAAGCCTACATAAAGACTCTATTAGAGAGTGCTTCCCCTTAATCATAACGTGAATTCAGATTAATCGAAACTTCAATACAAATATTGAACATCGAGTCAGAAATCATAAAAAAAAAAGAAAAAAAAAAAGAGAGAAACGTCAAAGGAAATTGAGATTGAGTCTATTTTACGCAAAATGAGTCGTCCATATTCTATTCTCCTTATCTTTCTAAATTCTAAAATTCTAAAAAATCCCCTTTTCTTCAACATCCCCTTCCCCCCCTTATATTACTATAAAATAAATCCACACTTTCCCTTAAAACATACCACACTTTTCCTCTTCTTCTTCTTCTTCTTCTTCAAATGACAAAATATTAACAACTTTAATCTTCTTCATTTTTCTTCAAAAAAAATTATAATTTGTGTTATGGAGAAGGTTAATTTTGTGAAAAATGGTGTATTAAGATTACCACCAGGATTTCGATTTCGTCCTACTGATGAAGAACTTGTGGTACAATACTTGAAACGTAAAGTCTTCTCCTTCCCTTTGCCAGCATCAATTATCCCTGAAGTTGAAGTTTACAAATCTGATCCTTGGGATTTGCCAGGTTGGTTCATAGTTTTCGCGCTACGATAGAATGTCTACATCACACTTTTCTCAGACTCTCTTCTTTTATTCGGACAACTCTATTTTAACACGAAATGTTTCGTACAATACAACTTACAGTATGAATTCAAATCGTAAAATCAAACTTTTAGGCTATTTAAATTTTTTTTTTATTTGTATTCAAAGTTTGTCAATTAGTTTTGAATAAAATATTCCCTACTAAGGGATTGAAACTTTTCTTTTTTGGGTAATTATTGAAGTTATGATTTTGAGAAAAAGTGGTTAATGGACGGGTTGGATTAAATTTGGATGAGGGATTTAAGACTCAACAGGGTAGACAGAGGAGTTGGGTGCTCTGTTTTATATATTAGTGGAACTTAGGTGTGAGTATAAATATCGAAAAATTAGATTGAATCGAACTAATTTAATTATTTTTTTTGGACTTGAATTTAGGTGATATGGAGCAAGAAAAGTATTTTTTTAGCACTAAGGAAGTGAAGTATCCAAATGGAAACAGGTCAAATAGAGCAACAAATTCAGGATATTGGAAGGCAACTGGAATTGACAAGCAAATCGTATTAAGGTACGGTATAAAGTTCAATCAATCTCCTCAAACACTAATAAAGGGCTTGGGGCTTTGACTTAACCACAATTAATCAGTTTATTGTTCTGGTTCGATATAGTCTTAACGAGTGATCTAATTCGTGCAGGGGCCAACAAGTAGGATTGAAGAAAACACTTGTCTTCTATAGAGGAAAATCTCCTCATGGTTGTAGGACCAATTGGATTATGCACGAATATCGACTTTCCAATCTCGAATCTAACCACCACCCAATCCAGGTAGAACTTATATTAAATTTGATTTTTTTTTTTTTTTAGCATCGAAAGAATTTACTATTTAGACGTATGAGGTAAGAAATTCGTAAGTACAAAAAGCGAGTTGAACCACCAATTCTAACTCCTATAGTTTTTCTCTTCAAATCTTGAAATTGGTCCTCCTTTTTTTTAAAAAGTGAAATAAAAGTATAATTTATATGTTTTAAAGGAATAAACCTATAAATGTAATTTTTCGAAGAAAAGGTATCAAATGATTATATTGGACAATTTTTTTTTGGTCATAAATGTCTAAAATTATTTGTATGTATATGTTAAATGATTTTTTTTAGCTTAACTCTGTCAGACCCATAATTCCCCTAGTTTTGAATGTCTTGTTTTTTTTCCCCTTAATTTAATCAAATATTGTCACATAAATTATATGAGACGATAACGATGTGAATCTGGTGTTACAGGGAAATTGGGTTATCTGTAGAATTTTCTTGAAAAAAAGAGGCAATACTAAAAATAAGGAGGAAAATATGACAACACATGATGAGATTATAAACAGAGAAGTTGGTAAAGACTCGCCCCTTGTTTCAGTCAAAATGAGTCCTCGATGTTCTGAGACATTGGCTTCCGCCAACAGTGAAGTGAAGAAGAAGACATCGATGATATTTTACGATTTTATGGGGAAGGATAATTCGAATGGAGTTGCAGCTTCATCATCAAGTAGTGGAATCACTGATTTGACAACTACTAATGAAGAATCTGATGATCATGAAGAAAGTACAAGCAGTTTTAATAGTTTTACTACTTTTAGAAGAAAAAATTAATTAATTTATCGTCTTTGAATCGATATCAATCGTCTTTTTTTTAACCTATCAAGTTGCTAATTCAAATATCTAGTAGTATTCCATCGGAATAAGCAGCTCAATTTCGATTTTCTTCATCTTATTATTGTACTAGAGTAAGACAAGACTCACAAAATGACAACAATTAAAAATGGAAACTTTTGTAAAAAGTGAAAAAGACATTATTACTCGCGGACCCCCCCCCCCCCTCCCCTGCCATGGAAAAAAACTAAACCAACACAAAAGGTAAATACGGAGTTTTTTTCTGAGAAAAATATGATAAGATGAATGAAATTCGAAATGTAAATATTTCTACTAAACGTATTTGGCCCATTACTTCCTTGATGGAAATAACACACAACAATCTAAATTAGTTAATCAAATACGTATTGGATACCAAATTGTATTAAAAGAAAAGAAAATGATTTATTTGAAGAACCATATGAATAAGGATATAATATAAAGGTAAAGAAACATTTTCAGTCCCTGTAATATGATATAATTCTAGTTTTTGTTTTTATGTTACTTGATTATGCAGTCAAATCTGAACTGAACCCTATCGCTCTTCTTTCTTTCCTCGTGAGCAGGAAGCACATCAGCAGCGTGCGTTGCGTGATTCTACTGTGTTTTTTGCACTTGATTGAGTGGACCTTTAATTATTTGAAGTGTGTGATTTTCGTCCTTGAAGTTAACTATTTAACATGATAATTGTTTTAAAAATATCTAAAATAAAATAAAATGAAGGGTTGATGATTCTAAATGCTTGAAGAATAATATGCAAAATTCAAAATTATATTTTATATTTCTAAAATATACAACCAAAATGATTATTTTAAATATATAAATTGATCATATTTGCTTCTCTCTGTGCTCTTTTCTTGGTTCATTAGCAAACCCGATCTTCCTCTCAACAGTTACTAATTAAGGTCAAATACGATTACATTTGAAAAAATTTAGTAGATAGACGGGCTCTTTAGGATTATCAATGATGTCCAAATAATTTTTAGACTTTAAAACCTTTAACCTTTATTTTTTAAAATTTCAACTATTTTAGTAATAATTCCGTCAGATATTTAACTTTCATTTACTTACAAGGATCAAAAACACACATTTTGAATAACTGAAAGTTAAGTGTGCACAGTTAAATAAAATAAGTATTAAATTTAAATTAAATAATTATATGAAGACTAAAATTATTATTTTCCCTATAAAATTAGATCACCTATTTACCTATCCATTTTTGGAACCTAAAAAAGGCTTCCTTTTAATTCATTTTTTATTACAGAAAATTTAAAATCCACTACCATGTTCAATGCTAATTCCTTCATACAATTAAGAAAAATCCTCTTAAAAATTGTCAAATTTGTTTGTCCTAAGATCACATATAATTAGGGGTAATTTAATGGCCACTCGATAAATTTGTCTTATTATGTCAAAATCATTAAATTATTTTTTTATACAAAACAATCACTCAACTTTACTTAAATATTACATAAAGTTACTATATGTATTTTTTATAACGAAAATGTTACTCAACTTTGCCTAAATGTCAAAAAAATGTTTTCTTTGTTTTACTTCTAGTGATTTTCTATGCTACTTAGTAAAGTTTAATATATTTTTTTTAATCAAAAATATTTTAATGACTTTTGCGATACTTGAATAAGATTTGAATGATTTTTTTAGTTTCAAAATATAGTACAACAACTTTGGTTTAGTAAAGTAAAAATTAGAGTGTGTATATTCATAAAAAAAGTCATTACAACTCATATTTTTTTTTCTAATATCCCGTAAAGGAGGTGAATAGAGTCAGCGAAAGAAGCCTCGAAGGCAGAAAAAAGAACTCTTAGGGGTCGTTTGGTTTGAATATGAGTTATGATGGGATAAGTTATGTTGGGATAAGTTATGTTGGGATTAGTTATGATGGGATAAGTTGTCTTGGGATTATTTCTTATTGAGTGTTTGGTTTGTTATATTCAAAATAATATATATTGATAAATTTTAAGAACAAGTTGTTTGTTTACAAAATTACCCTTCACTTTATTTAAACTTTTTAAATTTTTCTTTGTGAGCTTTAGTTATTCATTTTTTAAAATAAAACTTTTATTTTTTTTAACTTAAATATTTTTGTTTATGTATTCCCATGATAAGTACCATGTGTATTTAAAAATATAACTTTTTTCTTATTTAGCTTAAAAATAGAACTTTCCTCTTAAGTTTATTAAAGAGAAGAAAATTTATGAGAAATCAAAATAAAATAAACATAAGAATTAGTCAAATAAATTCATAAATAAAAATTATATTTATATAGTATAATTTTTTAATAGAAAAATATGTATAATTATCATAAAAATAAGGAGTAGTAAATATTATTATACATGGTATTAAAAAAAATGTAAATATACATAAATGTAAAAAATGATATATAAAAAGGATTTAAAGGGACATATTTGTCATTTACCTATTCTATCTCGGGATAAGTTATCCCGGGATTACTATACCACCCATGGGGAGGGATAACTTATCCCGGTACTAATTATTAATCCCGGGATAAGTTATCCCGGACTTGCCAACCAAACAACATAATTTTTTTTTTATCCCATCACTATTTCCTTATCCCATCACTATTATTTCTAATCCCTCACACCAAACGAGCCCTTAATGTACAAAAAAACAGAATGGTGACCAAACTTGTCCTTCAACCTTGGATAATTGGTGAAGAACTTTGAAGTAGAAAAACACCTAGACAGACAAAAAATAATAATCAGAATATTTTGTCAGACTATCTTTAGTATTTTTTTAAGGAAAAATTGTATGAAATAGCAAATTATTAATTCAAATTAAATGTTATAGTCATAGTTTATTTTATTTGTAATTCGTAGCAAACATTCCATTTTTTTGCCATCTGATTCGGTATATAATTAGCGATTTTATACATTTCGATATAAAATGCATTTGTGTTTGTATAAAGCGAGAGAAAAGTGTATATACAAATACAAATACATATATTTTTGTCCCATACACTTATAATTATATAAATACAAATCTTATTATACAAATTACAATGTATAAATGAATTTATACAAAACTGAGCAATTTGTATGAAATTGGATGTTTGTAGCGAATTGTACAAATCAAAAGCTTCATAACAAACATAAAATTTGCTATGGAGCGCAATTATGCAAACCATAGCTATAACATACAAATATGATTTTTATGTTTGCTATATGTGAAAGTTGCTCTTTATTTAATAGGTAGCTAAGCGTTATCTTCACTTTCATTATTTATTTATTTTTAACTGTTTTGATATGCTTTTTCTTGAATCAATGAACTATCAAAAACAACTTCTCTATCGTCTAAGGTAAAAATAAAATTTGTATACATGCTATCCTTTTCAAACAACACTTATGTGATTACACTGTATACATATATTATTTGTTCAGATAGTCCCAAAATACATTCCATGACACATTTCAAAGAGGTTGGTGACATTGGTGCTACTAATCTTACTAGCAAGCACACAAGACAAAAAGTGAAAATTAATTAGGTGTATATTTGTGAAGGGGCAGAGTTAACAGAATTATTGAATTTAGAGGATAGGTTGGTGAAATTGGAGAAAATGAACTTTCATATAACAAGGACAACATCTGAAAAAAAATAAAGAAAGTGGTCCAATGGATTCAAAGAACAAAGGGGTCTTGCTTCATTATTTTTTTTCAAATGTAGAAGAAAAAAAATTTGTTTTATGGGGCCACTTGCGGAACTAGACGGATGGAAGGGGGTTCAACTGAATATCGTCTATCAAGAAATTAATTTATATAGTTATTCATCTAATTGTTTAATTAAAAATAGCTGATAATAAATATATAGTATATGTATAATTAATTTAGAATTTATGTATACCAACTCAAAAAAAATAAAACAATATATTGAACTGATAATTTGTGTAAAGATCTCAGAAATTATAATGTGGGAATAGGATGAAAACGAATAGTTTTGATGTTGTGGTATATATAGGTAAGATGTTTGAATCTTTTTGATATAAGAAATTTTTTTTCAAGTGTAGCATTAAATTGTGGTATTAAGTTTTCTTTTTAAATTTTTTAATACAAATTTCTAACTACGCCACTGGATTTCAGATTTCTGGCATGACATAATATATAAAAATGTCATTTAACTTGGCCTCAATTGACATCTATGTCCTCTAATTTTTGTTGTGCACAAGTAGACATTTGAACATGTATAATATTGAACAAATAGACACATTCGTCTTACATGACAATTGTGTGTCTCACATGTATCATGCCACGTAGGACACATATGTCTACTTGTTCAATTTTATACAAGTGTAAGTGTCTACTGGTGCACATTTAAAGTTGGAGGACATAAATATCAGTTGAAACCAAATTAAATGACATATTTATGTATTATACCTTCTGACATTGCCTTGTATAACAAATAAATCTCTATCTACTTTTCTCTTAATTGGAAGGGACATTACCTAACACCCTTATATAAAAATGTATAATCTTGTTAATCATTAACTAAATTATATGGAAATCCATAGAGGAAGACTAAGCAAAGAGATTCTCCAACTATCTTCCAACTACATTGAAAAATTGACTTAATTAAGTAAGAAATTTCTACAAATATTTACTAATTAATAGTTAGCCCCAATATCTTTTTCTTTCTTTTTCAATGGAAGAGACATGCACGCTTAATACCGACTCATATACATGATTTAAAATTACAAACGTATACATAGGTCATACGTTGGATGTAGTATGAGGATAATAATTACTAGAAAATATTTTTCGAAAGCGAGTGAATTACTCTTCCTTATACGTAAAAAGAAATGCCTCTGATCAAGTGATTATGCAGGACATGATTCAGGCTAAGTTTTGATTATATATTTGTATATCGCAAGATGAACGTCTGATATCCTCAAGCAGATTACAAAACAAATTTTGGCTACGTACTAGTTTAAATTCATTGTCACAACTCACAAAGTAATAGTGGATGAC